CCTTTAGAAGCAACAGCACACAAATATGTTCAGCATACCTGAAATTCCCACCTTTTATTTAGGGGCATCCATTTAATGTTAAGGTAACCAAGCTGGACATCTTCAATCCCCAGCAGCTGGTGCACATCTAAGTTTCAATTGCAATAAAAATGTCACCCTCTTTCTGATTCACATTCAGTGTACCCGTAGGTGAAAAGGTCTGGCTCACAGATGAGTGTGGAGTACAACAGTAAAGCTTCTTGCATTAATACCAGACCGTTGTAATTAAAGTGGATGCCTGTGAGTTTAAATACGTATGATTGATGTACCTGCCCTTCATGCTGCAGGGATAGGTCAAATATTGTCCTAAATTAGAAAAAGAATCTCATTTTTATGAATGGAAAAATATTATAAAACAAGCTCTCGGAGCTCGCTACAGACAGAGAGGAACTAGAAGACAGCATTTGCTCTTGAAGATACTGAGAAAGCCCATCCACAGTGAAAGAGGTTTTATATTAACATCTAAGGATTCTTAGGCAGTTACACTTTAGGTGGTTACCCAGGCAAATCTAGAGGGAATAAAAAAATGTAAATTCAGATAAAAATTTAACACCACTACAACAAAGCCTTTTCTGCTTAGATATTAACACCCTTAGTACTGGAAAACAGCCTCTCTTTCATAAACACCCTTTTTTTTTTTTAGGGCTTCGACATGTCTCTGATGACCAGAAGACTCACAAGAACCCCAGTCTACGTGCCCAAGGTCCTTCTGTTCACTCTCCAACAAAAAGTCATACTCCAAGTCCTAACTCTCCTAAGAATTCCCCACAGCAGAGCCATGCCCCTGTCTTGGAACTAGAGGGAAAGAAGTGGAGAGTGGTGAGTCCCAGTCACTCCTCTGAACTGAACATCTTGCAAAAGGCGATTGATGACCTCGGTGAAACAAATTTGACTTGCAGCTAAAATGGGCTGAGTCTTGCATTGCTCCGCCTTGCTACAGTTTAGCTGTTACTAATTTGTAGCATCTGTAGTTAGTTAATTTATCTCTGAGAATCATATACTAATTCATCTGAACTGGAAAATGTCAGAAGCAACATATAAATTCCTTGCAAAATCTGACAGTCCCCCAGAAACAAGTCCAGTGGAGAACTCCAGTTAAAATCCCTTGCAGGCCATTAATGCAATCTGTTCATAATGTGCTCAATAGACCATTCTACAACATTTAGGGGAGCAGAAAACTTGCTCTGTTCTTCAAGGTGCCAGTCTAAGCTGGATAGGAACCAAACAAGTTTTGTGAGTGCATTTTTATGTTGTTGTGATGTCTTTTCTATACAATTAATGGGTTTTGTCAGGGTCTATGTTAAGTTCTTAAGTTCTGCAGCTCAAAAACACGTGTCATCTAAGGGTGAATTAGGTGAAATATCCGATCACCAAAGAAGTTAGATTTTTAAGCCTTTTGAAGGATATCGCTCTGTTGTAACTGAAGATGCAACAGCTTGAGTACAAGTTGTACTAAATTCTGTCTGACTGTTAGCTATTTAAAGACAACCAATTAAATACACTTTCTTTTGAAATAGGAATATCAAGAGGATAAGAATGACCTGGTCATTAACAACACTGAACTCAAGCAAGTGGCCTACATTTTTAAGTGTAACAAATCTACGCTTCAGATAAAAGGAAAAATCAATTCAATTACTATTGGTGAGTGAATACTTCAGCTGGGCTTTAAATGACAGTCTTGAAAAAACTGACTTACAGGATTAATAATGGATATGAATCATACCATCATTCCATTCACGTCAATAAATTGATTGTGTGAGTAAGTTTGCTCAGCTATGCAGTGCAAGACTGGGAATTTTCATAGTTAACGTAAGAGGTGTGCATATATTTACTTTTATCTTGCCTTTCTTATTTATGATTGCTTTTTTTTAGACAACTGTAAAAAGTTTGGCCTTGTGTTTGACAATGTTGTGGGAATCGTGGAAGTGATCAACTCCAGGGATATTCAGATTCAGGTAAGTACCTACTTGAGAAACAAAGACAGAAACAGAGAACAAGCAGGGGGCAGAGGGGGAAAGCCCAAGGTGTAACTACAAGAGATTTTAAAAACTCACAGGAGCACAACAAAAATGAGACATCGGCTAATCTAAACATATCTTTATGTGCACTAAATTAATTAGAAAATGCATTAGAAAATACCTGTGAAAACTTTTGAGCTTCACTGAACAAACCTCATTGGGCCCAGTTCCTTCTGGTTCCAGTGAAGCTGAGAGATCTATACACTGTAAGAACTGCTACTTCTGGCCCTAATTTTCTTGCTTTCATGGTAAGCAGCTCCTGGCACTTGAAAGTAGAGTGATGCTCGTAGAAGAAATTCTGGCAGTTAGCTAATTGATTTCTAAGCCCAGAGAATGGTTACTTCTTTTTTTTTTATTTTTTGCTAATGGAAATGTTAAAATAGACTGTCAAAGGACAACTAAATGACATTTAGTGTAGGTCCCTGGATGTCAAAAATGTCCCCTGCCAGCAACATGACACATTACATGAGTAAGTAATATAGTCACTTGCCTACAAATGCTTTTTCCTTTGATAACTGGTAAGCAAAGCTTCATCAGAGATCACCTTCCTTCTTGTTCTTGTGAAAAGAAAATATATGTATTTTAAATCCATATGTTGCCCTCTTTGTTGGCATACTTGCCCTGTTCAAACTATAGACAGTCTACCTAACATTTACAACACTTGACTCATTACACTCCAAAGAGGCCTACCTATACCTGCTCTAGTTCTCAGTTGTGTCCAACATACACGATCTAGTCTCAAGAAAGGATGTTAGGATATATTATTTTAAGTTAAAAGGAAATTAAATGTTAATTAAACTACACCAAACTGTCATTCTTCCAGGAAGTTGGGGTCTTTTGCTTAAAAGGCTACGCCTGCTGTATGGCATTAAATGTAGGCAGTTCTGCTCCATGCTTCAGAAATCCTGCTCACAGCCACTACAGAGAATAATAGCAAGATGTTTTTTTATATTTTGAACCTCATGCAAGTGACTGACATTTCTATCAGCTGTGTATCCTCTACTGATCTGTAACAAGCAGTTCTATTCATGATCCCTACATGTCTTCTTACAGCAGAGGCAGTTAGTTAAAGAAAAAGATCCCAGGCACTTATGAGAGGGTTTTTTTTCAATAACTAGATTATTTTTATCATCTCAGGAACTATTCATTAAAGCTGAAAAATTCACATGTAACGAACAGTGAATCCACAGCTTGTTAATACTCAAATAAAGGGGAAATACCTTTTCTAAGAATCAAAGATCTTTTGATTAAGCAGGTTATATGAATAATTCATAAGGCTTCTATGCCATGAAACAGAGTGTAGTTCCACTTAAGAAGGCAGAGTCAGGTTGTATGCTGCTTGAATGAGGCAGCCTCTGCAGAGTTTGAGTATGCCAAGTGCTGAGCACTTCAGTTTCCTCAGTATTTTGAAGACCTGAGCATATAATTTGCAGATACACGATAAGTTAATGGAACAAATGTCAGTAAAACAATCCAACAGATTTTGCTACAAATAGTGACTTCAAGGCCACATTGCTTGGCTCTCCTTCCTTCCAGTGTTTGGGTTTGTTGTTTTTTTCTTGCCACATGTTTGCAAAATTTATTAAACACACCCTCCTTTTGTTCTCTATTGCATAAGAACCCATTAAAAAAATAATTATAATTTTCAGATGCTTTGATCACTACATAGATCAGACTTCAGGATCAGAGCGGGATACAAGACTTGTTCTTTTTTTGCTAGGAATGGAAACTGAAAATAAATTCTTAACTTGAGTGATGTGAGACACTCTTTCATTAAAAAGTACATATCTATCACATGCTGTTACTGTTTTATGGCTCAGAATAGCCTCTCCCCTTTTGATACATTGTCCAGAGTATGTTGCTGTCCCTGCTAGAGAATATGGCAGGAGAAGGAAGAATTTTTACTAACAACCAGTGAGTCAGCCAGGTAGCCATGAAGAAATATTTTACTTTCTACAATTGTAAAAAAGAGATTTCCCTTTCTCCCTAAGTAAATCCTGCACCTGTTTTTAAAATGACATCAGAAATACCTTTAGAGATTTAATTACATTGCTCAGTACTTTCTATAACTGTAGCTTGCCTGAAGGGGATAAAAACCCTTTCCTATTGTACTCTGTAAAACCTGGAAGAGCTTTGAAGTCTCCAGAATGTATTACAAAACACCCATTGAGTAGTATTGTACTTCGGACTCTTCCATTTGCCCTTACTGGGTTGAAGTTGATGTGTTTGATTTCTTAACCAGTTCTCACCAATGAGCAAGGTGAACACCACCTAAATATCTGCACAAAACTGTCACTGAAATTAGAGAGATTCAGGGAAGCACTTTCATCAAATTGGATTTAAAAGTTTGCTGTGTAAGTTTGCTATTGTGTATAGATCTTTGTTAACACCACCAAGAATTTTCACAGTGTCTAACAAATCAAAGCATCAAGCAGGCAGCTGACACGCAGATCAGATGTTGGTGGCCAAAATTAGAGCTGGCAGGCAATGAGGATTTTATTAACAGTATCTTTGTGTGCGTTTTAAGATTTGATATTAAGCAGACTTTATTTTGCAGGTGATGGGGAAAGTGCCAACCATTTCTATTAACAAAACAGAAGGCTGCCACATCTACCTCAGTGAGGAATCATTAGACTGTGAGATTGTTAGTGCCAAGTCATCCGAGATGAACATCCTCATCCCCCAAGATGGTGATTACGTGAGTGAGATATTTTTAAAGCTTTGCTTCCGCTTCCCCACTAGTCTTGGTAGCTAATAGCATTTAAACTCTTAGGAAAGAAACGAACATGCCACACATAGTAGGTCACAAAAAAATTATCAAAAACTATTGAATTTCTATGTAACGATATCTCAGCTATCAGTGTAGGAAGAACTCTTATTTTCTGGGGCACAAAGTAATTTCGAAGACCAGACACGAGGTTATTTCTTTCCATTTTGATAGATAATGGCTTAATCTCCTATCCATTTAATTTTCTTTTTTGATATCTAAACATAATCTCCAAAGAAATTCAGTTCACAAAAGAGCACTCAAGCCTGAAGATGATTATGCTAAAACTGAGATAAATGTAATACTACTGCTGTTGAAATAATACAGCATAATGTACTTGCTTTTTCTAAAGCTGTTGATACCTGGGTAGCATCTGTAGTACTTTCTAGTGTTTTCAACACGTCCTTAATAGCTACTTAAACGTGCATTTTCTCAGCTCTTTTTATGTTCTACTAAGACTTTCACACCATGACGACCAGTAAAGTCATGCTCTGTCACTTCACACACTAGCAGGGGATCATGCAGGGAAAGCATGTTCGTAATATTTTCCTAATTTCCTTAACAGAGCAGTGTTGAAATTGCATTGTATGGCCGTAGACAGTGCTTAAATTTGTCAAAAATCTTTTGGGCTGGAATTATTGTATGGTAATGGGGTCTAGCCTTTATAAAAGAAAACATGTAAGAAGAGAATTCTCATGCTTCACCTTTCCAAATGTGACTGCTGGATGCCCAGGTTCAGATAACTAAAAAGGAAATTATGTTCAGTGGATGCATAGTCAACTATTCCTAAAAAAAACCAAAACATCCATTTCACCTCAGCTCACTGTATCATCTGAAGTTACTGGCTATCAAAGCACTTATTGGAGGCCTCAACAAAAAAAACCCTTCTCTTCACATCTTTTTTTTGTTTATGGGAAACAAAGACAGACCCAACACCATCTCTCACCCTTTCACAAAATATACGGAACGGAAGGAGACATTCTTTGATGTTCTGCTCTGTTTTTTGTACCCCACAAAGGATCCTGTGTCTTCTGAAGGGTACCACACTTAAAATTATAGTGGTTGAGATTTTAGATTTTATTCTTCCATATTTTAATACTGCTTTTGTCCTTAAAATTAGTCTCCTCACTAAATCTCTACATCTAAATCCTTTCTACTGTCTTCCAGCCCAGACACTGATGGAATCTGAAGTCATTTCTGACATGAGGCTTATTTACTTTGTTGGTCCAAATAATGGTGTGAGAGGGATTATTGCAAAGCAGTAGCATACCAAGGCTATTTGAAACTGGGCAGCAATAAGGCTTTTTTCCTGTGTGGCATTGTAAAATAGCTTCCTAGGGTAATGAAGAAGGCTTCTCACTAATCCTGGCATGTCTGAGCTATCAATGCTTTCTCAGTCATGTAGCACTAATAGTATTCCACCAGTTTTCATAAGGTATCTTCTGTTTATTTAACTATCATTGTTGCCTTTGTCTCTTACCAGAAAGAATTTCCGGTTCCTGAACAGTTCAAGACAGCATGGGATGGATCTAAATTGGTCACTGAACCTGCAGAGATTGTGGGTTAACTTCCTAACGCCATACAGCACTTGCTGACCGTGACCAGACCACAGCCAGCATAAACAAAGCAGTAATGTAAAGAACTAGAAGTAGCAGTGGTTCATACTGCTGTGATAGGCCTTCAAGCATTAGCTCTGCATGCTAGAAACAATAACACATCTGGCACGCTTTTGTTAGGCATCCCAGTATTTTTCACTTTTCCACAGTTTGCCTTCATATACAATTTTAATTCTAAATGATGTCATGTGAATGTAATGAATTTAAGCCCCCACCCTCTAGTCACATCATTGGTTTGAAATACTGTATACATTAAGCCAAAATACTGCATGATACACTCTGTTATCATCTTGCTTCAGTGCATTCCTTTTTCTGTTTCTGCTAATCAAAAACAGCATTAAGACTTTTAGATGTTTATTTTTAAATATTAAGCAATTCCTGTATGATGCAGTAAAAACATACCCCTACAAAGTATGCAGTTCCTTGTAGTTCTGTGGCAATCATAATGGGTTTTGTTTTAAACAAGCAAAAAAGGACAACTTTCAGCAATATGTTTTGCTAACATAAGATTAAAGAAAAAACCAGGTATTTTAATCAAACACTTTTGTAATATGTATTATTAGAAGACCTCTGTGTTTTCTGTGAGTTAAGATTTTATTATGGTCCACAGACTTGCTGTCACCCTCTCATTTCTTGCCAGTTAGTAATTCTAAGCTAAAACCTTGCAGCAAATCACTTGAAGGTTTTCTGCACCTTGGATTTCTTTCTTGTGAAACAATCTCTCATTTTTTAAAATTTCACATTGTATCTTGCAGCCTACTCCAAAAACAGAGAGAAGCATGTATTTCAGGTACCAGCTAGTTTCCTCACCAACAACGTTCCTTTAAAATACTGCTATTTTAGCTCATATTCATGAAAAATACCTTCCTGTTTCTTTCCCACATTTGTAGGACTTCTTAAATTTCAAATATGTGCACAAAGCAAAGCCATAGATTTATGTTATACTAATTCTGAGCCCAAATAAAAGGGTAATTTCCTGTTTAGCCCTTTGATTCTACTTTGTAGTCCCTATTGTACATGGTTTTTTAACAAAGGTGGAGTGTTATACACATTTGTACTATTTCAGCACATAGTACAAATAAAATTTTAAAAGTTTTAAAATTCAACTTAGGTTTTTGATCACTTGTAATACTTTGTAACAGTGAAATCACAGTGAGATGCTTGCAGAGCTAGTTACAAGCTAAATTTTGTGCCTAATTTACCTTTAAAGTACATGAATTCTTGAGGGGTTTTAAGTATATCTTTGATTGTAAACCCTATACAATACAACCAGTAGTGCTCATTCCGTAAGGTTTTGCTATCTGATGTTTAATCTATGTGTATAATGTGTTTGCTTTAATATATACCATTTTTTCAACAGTAAACTTCTTATGAAATAAAAAGGAAAATGTACTTGTTTAAATACAAAGTTCCTCCATTGCAGTGTTTGTCCTCTATGCTTTCTTCTCCTTAAATGCTGTTGGAAAAAATTGATTGAGAAAAAAGTAGCTTCTCCTCCCAGTTCATTAAATAGTATCACTTTTGCTGCCATAGGCCACTTGACAGTGAATAGTGGGCATCCTGCATGCCAGCAGATAAACCTGAAGTTTCTCACATAGTGACAGCCAGAAAACTAAGCTTTTAATGATTCTCACTTCTAGGTACACCTGTATCTTCCATAGATTATGTCTAGGGAGATGATCATGACCTGGTACAAATGTATAAGGTTTGCCTTCTATTTTAGCTTCTCCCATTGTTTTCCAATATGTCTTTGGATGGGTTAACAAACCAGAAGCAATCCACTCCATATTTCACTTGGATGTGCTTCACATCCGAAAAATGGGGATCGCCTACTTGTCATGATAAAAAAATTGTTGAAGGATTGTTTAATCCTTAAATCATAATTCCTTCCTAACGCTCCTGTTCTTGCAACATGCAAGACCCGAGTACATTTTTTTCACTAGTTCCTTAACAGGAGGAAGTCTTATGGAGTAACAGTGCACACCTGACAGTCTGAACACACCCAACAACTTTGACAGAGGCAGAGGTTTAAAAAGCAAGGAAGAAGGCCTTGCATGGACAGACCCAAGGTAATTGCTTCAACTGGAGAAAAGGTTAACAAGTCTATGTATTATTGGACTCCAGAAAACAACAAAACAGGAGATAGACTTTTTAAAATATGCAAACAGCTTTTATGCAGTACCCTCAGTCAGCCATATGACAAAAAAATAAATATATCTATAACCAATTTTTGTCAGTTCTGGTCTTCATAAAACACACTTGTCATACATTTCCAGTGGGTTGAACAGTTTTTTTCCCTGCAACCTGTCTTTAACCTCAAAAATACAAAGGAGTGCTAAATAAAAAAAAATAAATCCAAGGTTCTGATTCTACCCTACATGAATTTGTGTAAAAGTGAAAGTTAAAAACTCATTTTCTGAAAAATCAAGTATATCTCAAGATAGAAGTTGACAACAAGCTGCAGAGTGATGATTTGATGAGTCATTTCAACCATGATCAATTATGTCCACCAAGATTTCAGCAGCAAGTTTGATCTGTGCCTAATGGTTGACTCCCACAAGGAGTGAACTGCTAAATGCTGAGCATTCTTAAGGTCCTATTAATCACTTCTTTTTTACTGCATGCAATCACACAAGATATGGCCCCTGATTTCAGCTTTATACTGCACTAAAATTGTGGTTATGCACTAAATCAGTGCAATTCTTAAAACAGAAATCAGTGCTTTTGGTGTATTTATTGGTATGGAACAATCACATACGGTGTAATTAGCCAGTTTATTTTTATAAATCTGCATGGGACAAATATTCACTGGCATAGATGCTGTGAATCAGCCAGTAAAGTACATGTAAAAGAGGAGGAGATTTTTTACTAAGTGTCCAAATGTAAAAAGCCTTTTCCTATTAAAAGCTTCAATGGATCCCATACTTTCTTAAATAGAACCTCTGTAAAAGTACTGTTGAAGTACTCTGTACCAGTACCTCTGTACCAGTTCAGCAAGGGGAACTGCAAAGTCCTGCACCTGGGGTACAACCACCCCATGCACCAGTATATAGTGAGATGGATCATGAACTGGTTGAAAGGAAGAAGTCAGAGAGTTGTGGTTAATGGGACAGAATCTTGTTGGAGGTCTGTGACTAGTGGAGTCCCTCAGGGGTTGGTACTGGGATTGGTCTGCTGGAGAGCAGTGTAGGAGAAAGGGGCCTGGGGGTCCTGGTAGACAGGAGGATGACCATGAGCCAGCAATGTGCCCTTGTGGCCAAGAAGGCCAATGGCATCCTGGGGTGCATTAGAAAGGGTGTGGTTAGTAGGTCAAGGGAGGTTCTCCTCCCCCTCTATTCTGCATTGGTGAGGCCACATCTGGAGTATTGTGTCCAGTTCTGGGCCCCTCAGTTCCAGAAGGACAGGGAACTGCTTGAAAGAGTCCAGCGCAGAGCCACAGAGATGATGAAGGGAGTGGAACAACTCCCTTAGGAGGAAAGGCTGAGGGAGCTGGGTCTCTTTAGCTTGGAGGAGACTGAGGGGTGACCTCATCAATGTTTACAAATATGTTAAGGGTGAGTGTCTGGAGGACAGATCCAGGCATTTTTCAGTGATGTCTAGTGATAGGACAAGGGGCAGTGGGTGCAAATTGGAACACAGGAGGTTCCAGGTAAACATCAGAAAAAACTTCTTCACTGTGAGAATGACAGAGCCCTGGGACAGGCTGCCCAGAGAGGTTTGTGGAGTCTCCTTCTCTGGAGACATCCAAAACCCACCTGGACAAGTTCCTGTGTGATGTGTTCTGGGTGACCCTGCTCTGGCAGGGGGGGTGGACTACATGATCTCCAGAGGTCCCTTCCAACCCCTAAGATTCTGTGATTCTGTGATATGCTGGGGGCTATACAACTGGACAGCAGCTTGGCAGAAAAGGACTTGGAGGTCCTGGTGGTCACCAAGTTGAACATGAGCCAGTGATGTGTGCCTGAGACAAAGAAGACTGATGGTATCCTGGGCTTCATATGGAGCATTGGCTCCATATGGGAGGTGATTCCCTTGACTCAGCACTAGTGAAGCCACTGCCTGGAGTGCTGCGTCCAGTGCTGGGCTCCCCAGTACAAGAGAGACATGGACTTACTGGAGGAAGACCAGTGAAAAGCCTTGAAGATACTGAAGGGACTGGAGCAGCTCTCCCAGGAGGAAAGGCTGAGAGAGACAGGGCTGTTCAGCCTGGAGTCAGGGGAGATCTGTTAATGTCTATAAATACCTGAAGGGAGGGTGCAAAGAGGACAGAGCCAAGCTCACCTCAGTGGTGCCCAGGGACAGGACCAGAGACAACAGGCGCAAACTGAAACACAGAAGGCTCTCTCTGAACATCAGGAAATACTTTTGCACTGTGAGAGTGACCAAGCACTGGCACAGGTTGCCCAGAGAGGCGGTGGAATCTCAATCCTTGGAGCCATTCAAAAGCGGCCTGAACAGCCTTGGGCAACCAGCTGTAGGCAGCACTGCTTGAGCAGGGGTTGGGGCAGATGGCCTCCAGACATCCCTGCCAACCTCAGCCCTTCTCTCACTCTGTGATACTTGCTTAGTCATTTAGAATATTGGTTACTAAGAATGTGACCTCTAATTAGGAACGAGGTAGTGACTGCCCGTGTCCGCAAGGTGGCAGGAGCTGGAAGAAGTTATGTGTTTGTCACACAACTGCGAAACTCTCCTCTCTAAAAGGCACTGCAAAACCAGCGAAAAATTATTTTGGTTTTGAAATTATTATGTTGGTAAAAAAGAGAAGGTTATATTGGGGTGAACAAGGAAGAAAAACGAGCAACGTGTTACCAATGATTAATTTGATCTTATTTTGAACACCCCTAAGCATACCTCCATTAAAAGCATATTTCAAAACAAATACCTGATTGAACTCAAAGGTAGTATTCAACAGAGCTAATGAAGATAAAGGGGTAATTAATTCCAAGACTGCATTTGATAACCAGAAACCTTTTCAATGTCCTAGGGAACTGGGCACTTCCTAGTCCTGTAGTTATTATCCAGACAAACCATTCTAATTATTGAGTCCTCAGTGTATCTGGATCTGCATTATTTCCTTCAGTGTTAATGTACTAAATGCATTTCTATAAACCTGTGCATCACATTTCTTTCCCAGAGATCAAGATGTATCCACTTGAAATCCTCCAGGTGCTCCACTCAGTATCCACCCTAGTGTACTCTTCTGACAAGCTATTTGACTGGGCTCCCCCTAGAATGTGGAAGCAGCTGCCACTTTTTTCACAGATAAATGAAGGTAATGTTCACTGGACTGCACAATATGCTAACAAGCAGCTCAGTTACCAAGAACATACAAGAGAGATTCAGTTCCCCTGCTGGAGGTGATCTAGGCCCACTGCTGTGAAAATATTGCCCACCAGTAGCTACTGCCCTCAAGAGTTGCCTATAAACAGGCCCCTGACATATGAAACAGCCATTAGAAAAAAATCACAAA